TTAACCACATCGGCAGCACAAAAGGCAGACTGTATGCACCCACGGCACAGATCCTTACTGCAGTCATCCATCTGCAAGCACTCTCGAACCCCAACAAGCCACCCACCTCTACTATGACCGAACTCTCAGTGGCCTCCCGCGGGGTCCTGGCACTTCCTCCCTCCCCCGGGCAGGGAAACAAGACGTCCTACAGATACATCAGCCGCCCGCAACCACTACCGCACCGTGGGGCTTTCCGGCACGTGGAGAAGCAGACGAGCAACCGCCCAAACCCCTGTTGTCGGGGAGATCCTCACACACAGCAGAGAACTAGCCCAGCAACTGGCACCCTGGCACAACGAATCTGTAGCTGAAGGGGATATCTTTCACCCATCTATAGAGGGACTACCTACTACCGAGACTGTCTTACCTGCAACCATTTTACCCTCAGGAGCTCTGTGCCATTATCGTATGAGATCTGCCACCTGGTGATACACTCCATCCACAAGCTTGCCTATAGATCACCCTGTAAACTTGAGTACACATCTTGTCAATCTAACCAGCCTATCTTTAGATAACTGTGATTTACTGGACCCACAAAAGCATGTCTAATCTTTGTTTAACTACTATAACAAATGCAGGATCTGAATAAGCTTATTTAGCTCATTTCATTAATGCGATTTAACTAACGATTGATGCAATATTTGACGTGTGAACTAAAGGCTTCCTTACTGTAGAATATGATTAGTTAGACAGGCTGTTACTGGTCGAAATATATATCCCTCATTTAAGCATAGTTAAGCGTAACTAGACCAAGGGTCCGAAGCTAAAGCGATGACGCTCACTATAACTATTAATCTTAAGCTATTGTTACCAAGCGACAAAATAATTAATTGTAACTAACCAGCATGTAACTAGCCTGTTGTATTAATCTAAAAACATGTGCGTACCATCTAAATGCTACCTAACAGTCAAAAACCTGTATGTTCAAATTGTCTAAGAATGCTGTTGTGGCATTACTGTCATGCGAATATTACCCATGCACAATAAAAAAATAAAGAATAAAAAAAAAAATATATATATTTGTGTTTCAAAACAGTAAAACATATCGCAACAAGTATATCGTCCATGTAAGTGCCATTTGTGTGTGAAAAATGCACAAAAATGTCACTTTCACTGACAATATCATCATTGTAATACATTTTACTGTTTTGAAACACTAATATTTGTGTTCAGCGAAGTCTTCCGAGTAAAAGAGTACCTCCCATGTACAGGTTTTATGGAGTCTTGGAAAGTTACAGGGTTAAATATAGTGCTAGCAAATTAAATTCCCTGGACTTTTGGCCTGGGTTGTCAGGCAGGTTCCACAAATTGTAATTAATAAAAGGACCTAATTATGTAAAATTATTACATAAATATATACATAGAATTATTATATATGTGTGTGTATGTATATATGTATATAATTTTTTTAATTTTTTTATTTATCTATAGGTATATATATAGTGATATATACATATATATTTATGTATATAGATATATATTATTTCGTTCTACATGTATTTTGATATCAATATATATATATATATACAGAAACCACAAAGATGATGGCTGCACTCCTCGGACTTCTTAAAATTCAAAATGCTTTATTATAAATCCATTAAAATGATCAATGTTTCAGCCCCAATCTGGGCTTTCCTCAGGATCAGAAGAACAAAAATACTACAATAAATATACTTACAATTACTTATATATCATAAAAGAAAATTGAAAGACTTACCACAGCTGATGCCCGCGCCCAGGGCCGGTGCAAAGATTTTTGCCGCCCTAGGCAAAAGAAAGATTTGCCGCCCTCCACCCCCGGGACATCGCAATGCCCCACCCATATGATCTGCCATATGAACTAGTGCCAGTGCTGCACACAGTGTATGTTTACATTAAAAAGCCTGCAGGGACAAACTATATACACCAGAACAACTTTATTAAGCTGCAGTGGTTCTGGGGACTATAGTGTCCATTTATTGTGAGGTAATTTAGAGATTAGTGTCACTAATAATATACTAGATTGCCTACTTACAATCAGATGAGGATGGTGATGGGCTCTGGCTGCAGTCTGGCTCCACTGGTCTGGTGTAGAACAGGATCTCTGGAGGCTGTTTGTAACTGTGGTCACAAAATTCAATGTTCTGGGAGAACGGGAAGCAGCTCCATTTTTTGGGGCCTCTTACACAGCTCAAGGTCTGGGCCCCAGGGCCTGACGGTGAGTATGCCCATAAAGCCCACCCATAAGTCCACCTATATGTTCCACCCATGAGTTCGCTCACAGGGAGTAGAGTGTGTAGGGGATGTGTTATGTGTTACTGTAGAGGATCTAATATGTGTGCTTATGGAATGTAGTATATAGGGATACCAGTTTGTGTAGGTGATGCAGTGTGTTTTTGTGTAAGGGATAGAAAGCAGTGAGTGTTTGTGTATAAGGGATGTATTGTGTGTTTCTTGTTGTGTGTAACGGATGCATTGTGTGAATCTTTGTTTGTATGCATAAGGGATGCAAAGTGTGTTTCTGTGTATGTAAGAGATGCAGTGTGTGTGTGTCTGTAAGGGGTGCGTTGAGTGTGTGTAAGAGATGCATTGTGTTTCTGTGTGTGTTTGCATGTGTGTGTAAGGGATGCATTGTGTGTTTCTGTGTATATGTGCAAAGGATGCATTGTCTTTATGTGTAAGGGTTGCATTGTGTGTTTCTCTGTGTGTAAGGGAAGCATGTTGTGTTTCTGTGTGTATAGGGATGCATTGTGTGTGTGTGTGTGTGTGTGGTGTGAAAGAGCTCCCTGTCCTGCCCCCTGTCCTATAGAGCTCTCCCTTCCATTCCTTAGAGATCTCCCCTGCCCCTTAGTGGTCTCTCCTCTCCCCCCCACCTCCCTTAGTGGTCTCCTTTTCTCCCCAAATTTGCATTAGTGGTCTCTCCTCTCCCCCCACCTAGTGGTCTATCCTCCACGCCCCTCCCTTAGCGATCTCTCCTCACACCCCTCCCCTAGTGGTCTCTCCACCGGCCCCTCCCTCCTTTAGTGGTCTCTCCCTCCCCTACGTTCTCATCTCCCACCCCCCGTGTTCTCCTCTTATTCTCCCCTCCCTGTGTTCTCCTCTTCTTCTCCCCCCGTCCCTGTAATCTCTTCTTCTCCCCCCTGTAATCTTCTCTTCTTCTCCCCCCTCCCTGTAATCTTCTCTTCTAGTCCCTCCTGTAATCTCCCTCCCCAGCCTTGAATTTTCTCTTCTTCTCCCCCCTAGATGGGCCGAATGGTTCTTATCTTATCTTATCACATTCTATGTTTCTATGTTTCCTTCCCTCCCTGTAATCTCTTCTTCTCTCCCCTCCCTCCAATCTTCTCCACTCCCCCCTCCCTCCAATCT